AGACCTGTTCAAATAATTAAAATGAACTGCTCCTATTATTCCAAAATAAGCACTGTTCCCAAACACCAGAACTGCAACGCTCTTCTTGACGCACGAAGGTGGTGTCTTCAGGAAATGAAGTATACTTCAGTGCTTATTTTGGATTTATTCTATTCCAGAGGTTCCACTTCCATCTTTCATTATTCATTTATAAACAAACGAAAAAATACCAAATCAAATTTTATAATGTATCGAACTAGGGAGCAATATAAAACTTTTGTAGTGTGCCATGCATTTTTAGAGCTATCTGAGATACCAATTATGCATGTTTCTGCTTGTTATCAAAAATTATATCCAAATTCTTACATTCAACTTTTCTCACAAGTGCCATGTTATTCAAATCATAATCAAACTAAATATGAGACCGTGATCCACTGAAAACCATAGAGAAAGACTTACTTATATCAAGGTTCAAGCAGTTAGTTTGCGCACTAATCAGTACATTTCATTACATTAAAAATTTTAAACCATTAGCAAGAAGAAAAAGAATGATGTGAAAAAAGTAAAAGCTACCTGTTAAACTAGATGTGATAAAGCTTGCTAGTAATTGGGTATTTCGCAATAATTGAAGATCCACTTTGTTTATCTATTAGGTTCAAGTTTTCTATTCGTGTCATATTTTATTCAAGTGTAATATCTTAAGTGCATCAAGTTTAATTGGTAAAATGTATACAAAAAAAATTACATTCAAATTCATAGGGGAGTTCTACAAATCTATAATTTTCTAAATTTTGCTTTTCAAATGACTTGTGTATAATAGTTTGATTAAGTCCTGAGACCCTAAGCCGAGGGACATTTCAAAATCATTATACATGAAAGCATTTGCTTTCATCTGCCTGTTTAAAAATCTGTTTAAAATCTGCTTTTCCGTTAATCATCTGTCGGCCCCATACGAACAACTCTCAGAAGTTGAGAAACTTGTGCGAGCTAAGGACTAACGAGGTGTTACCTTTCAACGTGTGATTCCTAACACGGTTGCAGAATCATCCCAGCTTCAACCAGATAAATTCTCTCGAGAAAAATATCTGGTCGAGACGGGGATCAAACCCACGGCTTTCCGATCGTGAGTCGGGCGCACTACCACCGTTGCCAATTCCACTCCAATTTCATAATCCAAATGATTATGTGAAATAGAAGGAGAGTGCTCTGATCATTTTTTGCAGCATTTCTAAATGGGTGTAGTACCCATTCAGATTCCACGGTAAAATCGATCTGAAAATGGTAGTGGTTTAGTATATTTTTTAGAATGTCTGATTGTGTTTCTGTTTGGAGTTGCTTTTTCATTCTGTTCTTGATTTTGGTACACCTACTTTTAATTGTTTTTTCAATGAAGTATGATACATACAAAAGATCGCATCTACATTTGATGTGTATGTATTTGCTACACTTGGATAGTCTAATGACCCATATAAACATTCTCTAGAAAACGTGTAACTTCTCAATAGGTTAGTGCAAAATTTGACGATTTATCTTCAAATATTACTTTGGTGAATTCTTTCCACGCTACGTCTTATATATATAGTATCTTTTCTGCATTTTGATACCATGTGTCCTTGAGTTTCATCCAAATAATATATTATTTTCTTTTCTGGCTTTTTGGATACTCTAAATATGTTTGATTGAGAGGTATGACTATGAAGAAGAGGAAACAGTGAAGATGGTCGAGGGAATGGCTTTTGAAGAGGGGTCAATACTCACAAGTCATGTTATTGAAAGAGTTGAGAGACGAACCCGACGACTGGCGCAATTATTTGCGAATGGACACTGCATCCTACACTCAATTGCCGGAGTTGGTAACTCCATACATTCAGAAGGAAAACTCCTGCAAGAGGAGAGCCATTTCTCCCCATGAAAGACTCACAGCAACCCTGAGATATCTTGCAACAGGGCGCAGCTACAAGGATTGAACTAGGCTTGTTTCGGAATTCTATGCCTCAAATATATTAGAAAATAAGTTTGACTTACCTCTTGTCAAATTCAGTCTCCTCTTCACCGTGCATAGTTTCTCGTGGCGTCATTTAAAAAATCCAATAAATCAAAGTACCACAAGGATGGTTTATAAACGTCCTCTTTCCCAGCTCCAGAGGTTTCCGACTTCCTGACTTTGTTTAATTCTTTTTTATAGACCGATCTCAATTAATTTAATTTTTTCGTAACTGTCTATTAGCTCTGACATCCACTTCTTTGTATTTTTTAATCATCTCTTCGTATGCGAGATTTTTTTTATTCCGATCATTGTACTCTTTAATTTTCACTTGCCACAGGCACGGAAAACTTTTAAACATTTCTATAAACTCCACGAGAAATTCGCGATTACACTGTCGCAGGTCCGACATAATAATAAATAATGCAAATAATACACAAAATGATGGGAGCTCGACCGAGGTTCTAACTGGAACTGAGGCAAGAAGGGACGTCTTGTCTGAACCTCCGTTTACCAGCTCCGTCTTGTCGTATGAGATATCGCAAGCTTGCACTATCCATTATGTTAGATCATTTTCATTTTTACGTTTGACTAGAAAAGTTGTGAAATTTGCATATGCACTTGCTGCATGAGCCCTGATATTTTTTAGAAAATCATTTTGTGATAAAGAGAATCGGCCCTAAAATAAAACCTTGGGACACTCTTTACGTTACTGGAGTTGTCCGAGTAAGTGATTTGTTCCACCATGTCGTTTAAAGATAATTTGAAGGCATGATTCGATCAGTTTATACGGAATTTCTCTAACTATAAAATAATACAGGTTCTATCGTAGTATGTCATGATCAACAGTATCGAAAGCTTTGCTTGAATTGCAGCCTAATATCTCTCTTCTCTTCATCATCAAATTTCAACTTTATTAGAAAATGGTGTAACTCAAATAAGCTTTCTTTCTATGTCTCAATGACCAATGTTATCGCTTTCAGAGGGCAGATTGAGAGAAGAGTCAATTGGGAACAATTGCATACAAAATTCCTGGGGTTACACATTAATAACAGACTGAATTTCGTTAATCACATTGAGGCTCTCGAAAGTAAACTAGCATCTAGATGTTATATGTCATATCCAAAGAACTTGAACTGTCTAACGCAAAGATGATTTATCATTCACTAATCGAATCTTACCTGCATTATGGCATTCCCTTCTGGGGGGTTAGTAACAACCAAATGCAAGCCAACAAAAACGGGCAATACAGTACATGTGTGAAGCAAAAAATCGAGATTCTCAACGAACATTGTTCATTTAGTTTAAAATTCTGAATATTAGCATTCATATTGGAAACTGCATTTCTGATAAGAAAACACAATAACAGCTTTGAATCCATCCAAATGAATTATGGTATATGGCAGGCAAAAAATATTAGATTACCTACTCCAACCTCAAATTTGTCAAAGCCTCTCGTATACAATGGTTGTAAAATATATAAAAATCTACCACTGGAGATGATAGCTTAACAATCTTTAAAAACAAAAAACATTGAAAACTACTCAGTGAGAAATCATCCTACTGTGTTGCTGACTTTCTTAATTGAAACTTTTCAAATCTCAATACTAAAGTCAAATTGTGTTAGTGCAATTACCCTGCTCTGATGTAGCATATAGTATGATGTACCTTAATTGATTATTTTCTGAATAATTCATATTTTGTTATATGTCTCATTTTAAATCATTTAGGTTTATCTTCTGACTGATATGTGTTTCGTTATGGGTCTATTTTTTCAAACTATCGACAAAAGATACGCTTTGTCAATAAGAATTTTTGTTCTTCAGACAATAAAGAATATTTCTCTCTATATCTGTTATTTTTTTGATGTTATAAATATTTTTAAACGGAATCTCGAAATAATCATCTCTCTTAACGTACCTACACAGTAGGTTTTGGTAAATGTCTGCTGGAAAACAATTACTTCTTTGGCTAATACCACGTTGGACATTGAATTATATCCAACAGATATTTATGCAACCTAACCTCACAGAGGTTAGTCTGCATTAGTGTCTGTCGGATATAATTCTAACCAACTTCACAAAGGAGAGTTAAGTATTTCGAGATTCCGTATCGAAATATTGATTTTCTTGTACGTTTGTATCTCTCTGCAATTCAGTCTTTAGACTTATTTTGTTTTCAATGCCAGAATATGTGTAGCTCTATATTTTTTGTTTCAAACTTTCCGTATCCCTGATATATATTTTTTTAAATATATAAATAGAAAAACCTGTTTGTGATGGCGGTACTTTGGTTTTTTACTCGCAGCATTCAAATGCACCATTTTCAAGAGTGTCACAATCAAAAATATGTTTTTCCAACATTTCACGAAAAGATTGACTTCTTCCACAATTGCGTCATCAAATAGCATATAGGGGCTTGTTTTTGTACATTTGGCAGGGAACTACAGCTTGTCAAATCTAGGAAGAGACTTGACAAGCTGTACTAGTTTTAGTTATTCTGGGTTTTTAGATAATCTAATATTAGTTCTCTTTCTGCTGGGGGAACTATGTATTTCTTCATTTCTCATGATACTGAATTTGGAATTTTTTTTTTTCATGAAGATCAAACATGAAGTGTTGAAATTCCAAACTGCTTGAATGAAGGTTAATAATATTTATCGAAGCTCTTTTTCTCCATTATTCTCAGTATTTTTTTTTGGAGGGTAAATATTTTTGCTAAGTGACTTGACGATACCCATACAATTATTGTATATGTAATTAATGAAGGCAATATTGAAAAATAAAACACCCCCAGATATTTTTCATTTAGTTTGCTTTTCAGATGTCTTATTACATTTGTTGCAGCTGAGAGACATTTTGAGAGATATGTGGTATGAGATGATGTTTTATTTAATACTAGTAGAACTATAATTTTATTAGAGTTTTTTCGAATATATTAAAAATGTATTGATTTCATAATTAACATAGTCTAATAAGTTTCGACTTCTCAGGGTTGTCTTTCGTAGGGGAGATACAGCTGGTTAACGGAAAAACATTGTCAATGAGAGGGTGAAGTCAAAGAATGATCACGAAGAAGAGAAGGAAATCATGAGAAAAACCAAAGAAAATATCAACAGAAAAACCCGTCCAATTATCAAATATATAGATGATTCAAATAACACCTTGAAGATAGGCAGGAATGATAATATCAACAATTGGGAAGATTTGTTTGATGAAGAAGGGCAGTTGGAAGAAGACTTGCTGAAAGAGGTAAGTGTTCATGATTGATTTTTTTCAACATTTTATTGATTGTTTTTGAAAAATGGTTATATTTTATTATTCTGCTCATTTTTTAAATATAAAAAACAACTTTCATGCAAATGAACATCATCTTTGAGATCTTGATATTCAGAATTGGAACCTCTGGCGTAAAATGATTCTAATAGAAACACTTTTACACCAGAACTTGAACACTTTTTCTTGATGTGTGTTTCGCTAACCAAGTTAACTCAGGAGATGAGTAAAAGTCATGTGATTTGAGAGAGAAGAGAGAAAATGCTCTATTCTGGAATGAGCGAAATGTGTTTTCATTACATTTTTTGTGATTCATAGTAATACCATGTTTTTTCATTGAATGTGTTTTAGAAAAGAGGAGCTTCAAAATGTTGCTAATAAAACACTCAGAATGTTGAATGTATATTGAATAGAAGGCTAACGAGCTATTATACTCCATGTACAATGAACCTTGACATTTAAATTGCAAGTGTAGAGTTAGAATAATAAAATGTTATTAATTAAGTGATTAAGATAGAGAAAAAAAACATATACATAACTAACATCTCTGGATCTCTGAAAAATGCCACGCAGCTAAATGTGACTGGGAATGTACTTCTATCTATCTTTCTATAGAGACATCAAACTAAATTTCCTATATTTAAAAAAATGCAGTCTGACGTGATTTACTAAATATAAAAACACAAAAATGTGCTGTCTCCATATATGTAAATCATATCGTTAATTTTCGTTGGATTAACACTGTTTTTTCCACCCTCTCGTATACAATGGTTG